TCGCTCCTCCCCTTCCCCTCCTCCCCCCGCCCCATCAACCCCTTTCCTCTCCCCTCCACCCACCCCTCCCCCTCTCCGTATCCCCACTTCCCACTCCAAACATCCACCCTCCCCTCCCCTCGACTATCCAACCCCTCCTCACTCCAATCTCAACCCTTACCCCTCCCTCCCCCCTCACCTTCCAACCCTTTCCCTCATCCCACCCTTTCCTCTCTCCAGCCAATTTTCCCCACCCCTCCTCCTTCCCCCCCTACCCCTTCACTGCAATACACCCCGGAGACTTCATTTCTAATTAGCAGGATAATAACAACCATTTCTTTACGGTTTCAAACTATTTTCATGTATAAAGTTCGCAGCCAAACAGGATTTCAATTCTAACTTTTGCGCCGGCCTCTGTTTCATGGCGTTCTTTGTTGTTGTTGTTGTTGTTGTTGTTTTGTGTGCTTTTTTTTTTTTTTTTTTTTTTTTGCTTTTTTTATTAATTCTTTTTTTTTTTTTTTGGGGGGGTGGGTGGGAGGGAGATGATTGCTTGATTTGCTGTTTTTGTATGTTTTTTGTTTTGGTAGTTTTTTTTGTTTCTCTCTGTTTTCTGTTTTTTTTTTTTTTTTTATTTTTTATTTTTGTGGCTTTTCTTGATTTTTTTTTTTCCATTTCTTTTGTCCTTTGTTTCTTCTTTTATTTTTTTATTTTTTTTTTTTTTTACAACCAGCATGGCTCAAATGTCAGAAAAAATAAATAAAAAATGCCGTACAGAAAGCTAGTGTGATATTTGCATTAAAGAAGATTAACGATAATGTTATTTATGATTCTGTCACGATTAATTTGACATCAGACTTGAATGCATTTGATGAAAGTGAGAAGAAAATTTGTTATCAACATTTCTGAGCCAAAAAAAAAAAAAAAAAAAAAAATCATTAATGAGCAAAGCCGTGGATTATATTTCTCCTCTTTTCTTTATTTTTCTCCCTCTTCCCTCTCTTTCTTATTCATTTATCATTTTCTTTCTCTTTTCTGATATTCTCTATTCCTGGATATTCTTTTATTTTGTTGTATTCTCCCTTCCTATTCTTTCTTTCTTGATTTTCTCTTTCCTGATAATTCTTTTTCTCTTGTTTCAATCCTTTCTATTCTTCTTTCTTCTTCTTGATTTTATCGTTCTTTTCGATTCTTTCTTCTTTTCTTGATTTTGGATATATCCTGGATATTCTTTCTTTTCTTGATTTTATTCTTTCTTCCTATCCTTTCTTTCTTGATTTTTTCTATTCCTGGATATTCTTTCTTTTCTTGATTCTATTCTTTCTTCCTATTCTTTCATTCTTTCTTCTATTCTTTTTTTCTTGATTTTCTCTATTCCTGTTTTTTTTCATTCTTTCTTCCTATTCCTTTTTTTCTTGATTTTTTCTCTCTTCCTATTCTTTCTTTCTTTGTTTCTTGATTTTCTCTATTCTTGGAATTCTCTTGATTTCTTATTTCTCTCTCCTTCCGTTTGTCTTTCTTTCTTTTTCTCCTTCTTTTGTTTTTGTCTTTTTCCTTTCTCCTGTGTTCTCTCTTCGTTTTTCTCTACCACTGTTCATCTCCTTTCGTCCTCCTTCTATCGCCTCTTTCCCGTGTCTGATTTTTTCTTAGTACTTCCTTAATTTATTTAATTTTCTCCCTCTCCGCTTCTCTTTCCAATCTTTTATCAATTCATTCTCCGTCCCTCCCCCTGTCCTTTCTCTCTCTCTCTCTCTCTCTTTCTCTCTCTCTCTCTCTCTCTCTCTCTCTCTCTCTCTCTCTCTCTCTCTCTCTCTCATCTCTCTTCTCTCTCTCTCTCTCTCTTCCCTCCCCCTCCCCCCCCTCCCTCCGCTCCCTCCCCTCTCCCTCCCTCCCTTCCCTCCCCTCCCTCCCTCTCCTTCCCTCCTTCCCCTCCTTCCCTCCTTACCCCTTCCCTTCCCTCCCTTCCCTCCCTCCCTCCTTCCCCTCCCCTCTCTACCCTGTATCTGTCTGTATTCTGTCTATCAGTCTTCTTTACCCCCATCTACGTGTCTCTCACTTCTCCGTTAACCCCCCCCACTCCCTCTCCCTCCTTTCCCCAACCCCTATCACTCCCTCCCATTCTCCCTCACTTGCTCCTCCTTCCTTCCTCCCTTTCCCAAGCCTTCTCCCTTCCTTCTCTATCAGTCTCCCTCCCTTCCCATCCCTATCTCTCCCATCCTTCACCCCCCCAGTCCTCCCCCCTCCTTCCCCACTCCTCTCCCTCCCCTAACCTTCTTATTCTTCCTCTCGCGTGTCCCTTATCCCCTACACCCCCACTCAGTCCCCCCCCCCCTTTCGCTTCGACAACCCTCTTCGTCTGCCACTTCCTGCCTGTCCTCTCCTTCCTCTCTTCTCCCTCATGGCCTTCCTGCCCTCCCCCTCGACTATCGCTCCCTCGGGGCCCACCCTCCTTTCCCCCCCTCCCCACTAACCTCACCCTCTCCCACCCTCTTCCCACCCCTTTCTCCCTCCCTATCCCCGTTAGCTCCTCCTCTCCCTCGGCTCCGCCTCCCCACACCTCTCCTCACACCTCTCTCCCCCCCACACCCCACTCCCCGAGGCCGCGGTGCTTTCCCCGCGCCTCGTGGTCCCTGCGCGCGGTTCGCGTTGTCGCGAGCCGTGAGTGCGCTCTGTCGTTGGTCGGGCCGGTGCCTTGCCCCGCATCCCCCTGACGTCTCCGCATCCCTCGTCACCCCCGCTCCCCCCCATGAGACGTCCTCTCGTCTTCCCCGCCGCAGCGCCCCGCCCACCGCCACCCTAGGGTTGCGTCTTCTGCTTGTCCGCGGCTCCCGCGTCGACCCCGCCCCACCGCCGTGGAGTCCGGTGCGTGCGCGCGTGCCGCGGCGCGTGCCCGTAGCGCGGTCGTGTGGGTTCCCGCGGCTTCCCCGGCGGGCGACTGCGTGGGGCGGGTGTGGTTCCCCCCCTCCCGTACCCACTCAGTTCCTGCTCCTCTTCCCCCCGCCCCCACTCGCCCTGAGGCCTCGTCCTGCGCTCGCCTCCTCCGCGCTCCCCACCCCTCTATCCTCGTCCTTCTCGAACCCCCCATCTGCCGCGGAGTGGCCGGCGTCCCCCCTCGTCCCCCCCCACGCCGGCAGCGCGCTAGTCTCTCGTCTCCCTCCAGTCCCGCCCACCCGCGCCCTCCCACCCCTTTCTCTCATCAAGCGACGGGGTAATCTCAATCACCATGATTCATTATCCCGGAAACCACTGCTGTTCGCCCTGCTTCCCGTCTGCTCGCTACTTTCCCTTATTTATTCCTTTTTCTTCTGTCCTCTTTTCTCTTCTTCTTCTTCTTCTGATTCTCTTTCTCTTCGTTGGTATTTCCCGTTCTTCTGTCCTGCTTGCCGCGCTGTGCTTCTGCCTCCTTCTCGCGAGTTGATTTCCTCGTACTTGTTAGCTTGGCTCCTGCGCTCCTGCCTCGTCTGCTTCTTGTCTTCGTTCGATTCCGCCCTTCCTGCCTGCCTCGCTCGCATGCCGCTTTCTGGGTCGTTTGCATCCTCTTCCCGTCCTCGCGCCTCGTCCCGGCCTTGCGCGTGCCTCCTCTTTCTTCGTCCTGCCCGTCCTCTTTACTCCTTCTTCCTCTACACCTTTCATCATTCTTCTCCTTCTTCCTCCTTCTTCCTTTCCGAGATGAAGACAGCAATATGGCCATTAAGATCCAGTCATTCTGGATAAATGAGTGCCAGTTATATGGTATTAATTTTGGTGTATGTGTTTCATTACACGCTACGTCTCTCATTTGTGTGTGCGTGTGTGCGTGTGTGTATGTGTTGTGTGTGTGTGTGTGGCGTGTGTACTGTGCTGTGTGTGTGTGTGTGTGTGTGTGTGTGTGTTGTGTGTGTGTGTGTGTGTGTGTGTGTGTGTGTGTGGTGTGTGTGTGTGTGTGTGTGTGTGTGTGCGCGGGGGGGGGGGAGGGGATGGATAGGGGTGTGTTTTTGTGTACATGCCTGTATTTGTATCTGTTTGTTTGTGTGTTTGCGTGTGTGGGGGGGAGGGGATGGATGGGTGTGTATGGGTATGTGCTTTTATGTACTTGTGTGTATTTGTAACTGTTTGTGTGTGTGTGTGTGTATTTGTAACTCTGTGTATTGTGTGTGCGTGTGTGTGTGTGTGTGTGTGTGTGTGTGTGTGTGTGGTGTGTGTGTGCGTGTGTGTGTCCGTGCGTGCATGTATTCGTATGTATCTCTAAATCTGTGCATCTATATCTTCCCGCAAATGCTCATACATGTTTGCTGATATCGAATGTACGAACGTCTATCAACATGTTTCATCAGGCTATGTGCTTTACCCGAGAACCTGAGGTTTATCGATAGATTCCGTGCCTTTTAACTCTCCTAAGTCAATATTTTTTCCGTGTTTGAATAAGCTTTTGAGTGTCCGCTTCCTTGCCGAGGGATTCCTAGAATTCAATAATTCACAAAGGATAAAATGTTCGTCCAAAAACTGCAATACTGCTTGCTCACCTGAAGGCATACGTGTTTGGGTATCTGAATGTGTGTGTGTGTCTGAGAGAGAGAGAGTGTGTGTGTGTGTTTGTGTTGTGTGTGTGTGTGTGTGTGTGTGTGTGTGTGTGTGTGTGTGTTGTTTTGGGTATCTGAATGTGTGTGTGTGTGTGTGTGTGAGAGAGAGAGAGATATATAGAAGATAGATAGAAGAGAGAGAGAGAGAGAGAGAGAGAGAGAGAGAGAGAGGGGGGGTGGGATTAGAGAGAGAGAGACAGAGAGAGAGAGAGAGGGACGTGTGTGTGTGTGTGTAGGAGAGAGAGAGAGAGAGAGAGTTGTGTGTGTGTGTGTGTGTTGTGTGTTTGTGTGAGTGAAGAGAGAGAGAGAGAGAGAGAGAGAGAGTAAGTGAACGCGTATGTATGTATTCCTTTTCTTTTCTCTATATATACATACCAAAACGCTTACCCACACATAATCAAAACAATCATCAACGCCCATATATTTACGCATTTTTTGCCTCCAAATAGACGTACACATTTTCAG